ATATTTGATGCAGGCTCTCATTTCCTTAAGAAATTCAAGGAAGGAAATAAAAGACTGGAAGATGTTCCTTTGGAAAGGAAGTGGATATGATAATGAGATTGAACACAGTAATATGTGTTTTTCTCTCATGTCTTTCTGTCTGCTTGAGTTGAACAAAATCACATTTCTTCTGTTTTGTAAAAGTTGGCATGAAATAGCATCCTTTACATTTGTTTACATTATGTTTACAGTTTTTTACATATGTTTATATTATGTCTTTAAATGACTTGTGTTTTCCAGATATTTTTTCAGAACACCTCTCTGGAACTTGGAGGCAACTGTTGATAGTAATACTGATGCTAGTGCTGATAAGATTTTGGAGAAAAAAATTCTGTGTTTATTTTTCAAGTGTTTATTTAGGAAAGCACAAGAGAAGACAGCTTTTGTAGTCTGGGACAAAGCATAACCTTTTTTCCACTGTTCATTTACAACCACATCTGAATTTTTAATTCAGTGCTTTTCAAGAGACACAGAAGAGTACACCATGCATCTGTTTAAAAACAGAAGAATGCTCTAAGTGCTTAATGATAAGGATTAAAAACTGTATAGTTAAGTTAAAAAGGTGTCAAAGTAAAATCAGGTGTTTGAGACCTCACCAGAACTGCTTTAAGGTGAGGGGTGGGATTATAAAAGAGCTTGTTCTCCGTCTTTATGAGCAAGGAGCCCAGGGGAGACCTATCACTGTTTACTTATAGGAGCTCTGTTTCACAAAGACACTGTTTCACTCTGTCTCTGGAAGTCTGTCAGAGATTGAAAAAGTAATTCCACATTTTAAGTCTTAATTACAGATCTCTTCATAGCTGGGTTTTGCCTAAAATGTGGGAGATAAAAAGCTGTACTACCTTTAAAATTGTTAGGAGGTGCTTGCTCAGAGACAGTAATGCTGTTTTTTATATGCCACGTTTTGGGTCTTTACAATTTAGTTATGGAGACACTGGGAAATATAAAATTTGAGGCAATAAAACCTGCATCTAAACAGTACAGTAATATGAGTTTGTAATTCTTTTTCTCCCTTTGCAAATATGAAGAGCTTCTGGGTTTGCAACAAAATGGTGGGTGAACTACAGATATTTTTCAAATCACTGCTGGGGCTAATTATCTTAAGTGCAGTCACTTAAGTATGCATCATTGCACTCTTCTCTACCTTCCCACTTTGCTCTGAAAGTGGACACAGCCTTTGCTCTGCAAGTAATGATAATAATTGGTACTAAGACAGACCTGTTACTCATCCTTTTTTGAGCACATTTCTTATGGCAGATGTCTAGTTTTTAATTAACTGCTAATGAACATGCCTAGTAGACCATGATACTGCTGCCAGCCTACTCCGTTTTATATCTCACTGCTGCTAAGCTCTTAAAAGGTTACAGAGCAGGCATTAGTGTCTTTGAAGTGATGGGAAAGTGATTATATGCATAATATAATTGTTTGTAGGATCTACTATGGCAAATGTTTAGTTACTAAATGCATCTGGTGAACGTTGCTGTTATCCCTCTCCCTGGTCTTCATTTTCTTCTTTTGTGTGCAGCACATATTCCTTTTATCCCTTCTACAAAGATAAAGCAATATGCTTTTAAAAATTAAAGTTTTTTAAATAAAAATAATATTAACTTCTGGAAAGGATCATCTTCGTGGATGATCCCTCATCTCTTAGGGAGAACTTCCAACCTGTTATGAATAAATAACACATAAGCAATAAATGACTATATTAAAACCCTGAACAGCAATGAACATCAGATAATAAACATGAAATCATGACATGACTTTGGTGGCTTAAAAGACTGTGATCAGGATTTCATTTTAAGTCAGTTTCATGTAGTGCCATATTTACAGATCTTTGTGTACCATGCCTGTAAGTAACCATGTACAAAGCTACAAAAGTGTTCAGAGCAGCTTTGCAATGCACTTGTGGCTCTCACAGCACACCTTTCCCATTGCTCCCCGCTCTCTGTGTGCAATACCACCAGTGAGCACAGGACACAACCCTTCCACTCCCAGCTTCAGAACCTATTACAGAGCATTAACCTGTTCCTCATTTCTCAGACTTTCATAATGTGTGGTATGTAGGCTACAAACCAGAGCCAGGGAAATGGCAGGTAAGGTGCCCCTGACATTTCTTAAAACTTTAACCTGTGCTTCCTGAAATCAAGTGGGTTAACTTGTTTGCTAATTAAACCAAGCAGGAGACAGATGAATAAGTGTTGTCTTCATACCCTTCCCAAATGGTAGGACAGGAATGGAAACAATTTAACTCCTGTTCCCTGTTTCAACCTTCCCGTGGTCACTCTACAAAATAAGCTAGTTTGAGCTTATTGTTGGAGAAGGGAGGAGGCTTTTCTCCATGAAACGAGTTTGGAAAGAAAAAATCACTTTTTATTCTTAGGCAGTTGCACACAAAACTAGGTAATGTGGGGTGATAGTGCAGCTGGGGACAAGTACAACTGATGCCAATAATGCTGCACAGTACTGCTGATTGAAGTTGCCTCAGAGCTAGAGTGCAGATAACTAACCTGGCTGAAGGGGTCAATGAGGAAATAGGTGACTAAACTGCTATCTCTGAAGAGAGGCTGCCAAAATATCAGTTATCACATTTTGAGGAAATGTGCTGGAAACTACTGAAGTCTTGTTCAAGTCTGTGTGAAGAGGGATGTCGTATTGTTCTTTAGAGGTGGGATTCCAAAACAAGCAAAACACTCAAGCCAAACCTCTGCAAACCTGTCAGACGTTACAGTACTCCTTACTGTTAAGTGAAGCTTTGCTACCAAAAACTGGTTGACATTGTAGAAAGTGGTCTACTATGTTAACTACTTTAAAATCAAAATGATTCCTAGTACTTCCTTCAAAATGTTGCCTTTTGTAAACACATTAAATTAGAAAAATAACAAGTTCTCTTTTACCTTGTTTTCTAAACATACTGGAAAGCGTGATGATCAGATGTATGTTTTGAAGTGTAGACTAGCATGGCTTTTTATGCAGCATTCAAAAATAAATTCCTGATACGTGGTGTGAGAAAGATTTGGTAAACATGTGACTTCATAGAATTGACTGAATAGATTGTGGTAAACTTAAAGATTGTCTTGTAATTTAAAATAAGTAAATGATTGGTGCATGACAGTTGGGACAGCAGAAAACTGAAAATTTGCAAGTGCAGTGCAGAGTTCTTGAATGTCAGCTCCTGTGTCTACATAATTTTATAAACAGCTCAAGGCATGTCTTGGGATGAGGTTATGAGAAGTAAAAGTGTAGGAGTTCAGTAGTAATACATATAAACAGTAATAAATAAATTCATTCATATGCCGGTAGATGTTATTCGGGTATTGTTGACAGGATGTCTTGAAAAGACTTCACACCTAAAGAAACAGATTAAATATTTCTGCATTATTTTGAGTTGGGTTTTTTTGGTGCGATGCATGAAATATTGTAAGCTGCAGTCCAGGTATGATTTCAGTAGCTGCCAGCAGTACTGTAAAAATGTTACATGCTATTACAGGACCACTAGCATTCACCTCATCAAACTTGAGTTCATCCTATTCAGACATATGTCTGTCTGCTTTTCGATCCCATGAATTGGATGGCACTCTAGCTTTTTCCTGGTATCTGTCTGGAGCACAGGGATAATGGAAAGTGGCCAAGTTGGAGAGGATTGTTCTGTCTTCTATTCACATGCCTAGACACAAGGAAGCAGGCAGAATATCTGTTAACCTGCAGCAGTTTATGGGAGCTATGACTAAGATAAAGGTGCTTTTGAAGCTTCATTTTCTTAAAAAAAACAAACAAAAAAAACCCAACCAAAACCAAACAAACAACAAAAACCCAAAAAAACAAACAAACCCCCTAAACAACAACAAAAAAAAAACCAAAAACACCCAAAAAAACTCCAAAACTAAAACAAAACAAAAAAAAAACCCAAAATCACCCAAAAAAACCCCAAAACTAAAACAAAACAAAAAAAAACTGTGCTAAGCATTTTAGGCAAATTAAATGGATAGCTGAACTTGGTAAACATTAATAAAAACATGGAAGCTTTAACTAGAAAATACCTTAATATTTAAACTAGGGGGAAGACATTGTAATGAAAAAACTGTTTCTAAAATTGCTTAAAGATTATTTTAGCAGATTGGTTACAGGGTTGTATGTCGACTCATTATGATTTTGATTTTGCAAGCTCCTTTTAAAACAGGTGCAGGTATTCATTGATACCATGTTTCTTGTTGAGAATTCTATGCTATCTAAAATAGCTGGATTTTCAGCTCAAAGCTGGCTCCTAAAGTGTTAAGTCATGAATAATTTCCCATCTTTCCCTTAAAAACCTTGGCTAGAATAAAATGCAAATTAAATTTTACTAAATATGAAATTCATCATATCTTTTACATTCTTTAATATTCAGGATAGAAAGGTACTTGCTGCTTCCAAACTGGGGGAAGAGAGGGATGTGAGCTTAAATCAGTCTTGCTGCTGGAACTTTTTTTTTTTCAGAGTGGTGATATGGCTTTCTCTAGAAGCAGAAAGGTGTTTGATTCTTCTGCTGCTGTTCTTTGTTGCCAGAGATGCTGTGGCGGGCAGTAGCTGCCCAAAACAACCTATAATTGCTGAACTTATGCATCAGGATGAAAAATAAGTATCCAGCTAGCTTTTCTGGGATGTGAGCAGAGTTGTCCTCAGACAGCATGATACAATACAGTGTATATAGTGTGGTGGGTTAAAGGGGAGGGACTAGATTAAGAGGAGACAAATTAATGTCAAAATGCACCTTTTCTGGGATGTGAGCAGAGTTGTCCAGACAGCATGATACAATACGTGTATATAGTGTGGTGGATTAAAGGGGAGGGACTAGATTAAGAGGAGACAAATTAATGTCAAAATGCACTATAGATTCTCAATAATTAACCAAACTTCTGTCTTATCCTTCCCAAACTATGTGCTGTGCATTGCTCTTCTGGGGATGATGATACTGCTGGGAACAGCAGCAGCAGTTGCAGGCTCAGCATCTCTCCCATGGCCATGGACCTCCAGTGCCTCTAACACCTCATCCATCAGGACTTCAGCCTCCAGGAATCCCTCCACTTGGAAGCAGTGCTGGCCTTCTTGCCCTCTCCAGTGCTTTGGGTGGGCAGTCTCACTTGGCAATAAAAGATGACAAGAAGCATCACGATGCAGACCACCACAGAGGTGAGAGGCATGGCAGGCCTGATTAGGACATTGTCAAATTTGTGCATTGCTGCAAATTATATGCATCTCTAAAGAATTCAAGTTATATAGAACAAAAAAAAAACTGTTGTCAAACTTTAAAATGTCTGCATATAAACCACTGAAGAAAAATTCAGCTTGGAATTTTTCAGTATTTTAAAGGGGATCACTAGGTGTCACCTGCTCTGTGCTTTGCAGGGCCTTTTGACATCCTGGTATATGCTTAGTTGTAATAGCAGTGGCCTGCACCATATTGTGGAAAATTGTTAAACTGCATAATGGTGATTTTTTTCAGAGAAAGTAATGTTGTTAAATGGGCGGGTGGGAAGGTAGGGGGAACAAGAAGCTAAATTTTGAAGTGAATGTGTTCAAACAAAATATTTCGATAATTGCATCTGTTACTTTAGTTTCATAATCTTAAATTCTAGTACTCAGTTAAATATTGGGCAAAATTGCACTTGACTAATTTTTGAAAAGAAAATAATTTATTCTGTCTTGAAATAAAACTAGGCTTTGTGTATGGTTAAACTGTAAATCATGTTTACAAAATACTGTAATTTTCAGGAAATCACTGTATTAGGAATGTGCAATGACTTATATAAATAAAAGCCATTTTAAAACTGTTTGTGGCTTGTGTTCTAATTTTTTCCCCCCTTTTTTATTTCTGTTCTTGCCTCTGTGTCTGAACGGGCATGTCTGTCCATTTCTTGGTTACTGCGGGAGCAGACAGAGAGCCAGGCACAGTAAGTACCAACATTCCTGCTAATGTTTCCATTTCCAATAATGTAATAATTAGATGATGTGCTGTTTGTCTGTTTTGTCTTCCTTTTAGTTATTTTCATGATACAAGGCATATGTGTTTTCTGTTAAGATATGTCTTGGTTTATGCAGAACATGAGATCATCTGTTTGATGGACTGTATGGAGGAGTCTTGTTTCTGAACAGAATGCTTTTAGGTAAACTTGAACTTTAGTTTGCTTGTTGAAGGCAGAAAAGGGGAACGAAACTGCAAATCAAAAAGGATGTTTGAAATACTGCATTTTTAGTCCAGAGTTAAGATTTTTAGTTTCTAGGATTTTCAGGAATTAGAGTTGGATAACAGGTGATGAATTTAAATGCGAGAATTTTAAATGTGTCATGATAGTGTTTGGCCCTAGGAGGCTTTTTTTAGCTGCATCTGTTTAAGCCATACTAATGTCATTACTACTTAATTTGTGCTTCACGTGTAACTCCTACAGCGATGCTTTTTTCCCTGTAGACATAAGCTGTAATAGAATTGGCCTTGTCTGAAAAGTTCTCTGAAGAACTACATGCTGCTTTTCATGCTGTTTTGTTTTGAGTGATATTGCTATATTAATCTGTTATAGATGGTCATGTGCAACTTAATTCAAGTAACAAAGCTGATTGCGTGTGTTTGTGGCACAGATTAATTTGGGCTCTATTTTGTTCCTTTTCTCAATTACAAAAGACAAGAACTAGGAAAAGTTATTTGACAAATAGCTGTACAGTACTAAACTTCTGACTTTTATTGCTGCTTCTTTAATATACATACGAGACTTGCTTGACAGTTATTTACTGGAAAGTATCTGCATATCTTTTGCAGCATTTTTTTATTTTTAGATTACTAAGCAAGAAGCATTCATCTCAGCTTGCTTAATGTTATTGATGACAGTGTATCTGCAGAAATAATTTTAAGCTGGCTTTTTATGAAGTCTCTGACTTATTAAGGGCTTTTTGCTCTGTGTGGGACATACTTCTTTGAGTTCTGTTAGTTGATTGCAGGAATCCCTAGCTAGTGATGGCTTTGTGTTTTGATTTGATTATTATGTTTCCTGTCCTTGCCCTGGTTGGTCCCAGCTTTCCCTGCCCTTTCCATCATGTAATTTGGTTAAACTAATTTTAATTTTAAGTAATTTTTGTTGAGGGTTTGAATTTAAAATCAAGTGCTTAGCATTGTGAAATTTGGACTCTGAATTAATCTTTTAGCTGAGAATAGTTCTTGCCTATAGAAGGAAAACTATGAAAAATTAAACGTCACTTTTGGGTTGTGGGAGAGTTGCAGGATCACTTGTTTAGTTTACTATAGATGTAAATTTTACTTAAACTATGTAAAATTGTTGCTGCAGTTGCTTCTGTATCCATATGTAACTGATGATTGCTTGCTTATTACCTGAAGCAGACTGTTTTTATGCTGGTTTTAACAGTAATTAACTTTTAAATAATCTGAGGCTTTATATCATAAAGGAATTTTGCCATATAGATATATTGAGTTTTGGATACTACATTATGGTCATTCTAATTTCCTTTTGGTCTCAGTGCAGGATAATATTGCATAGCTAACTTAAACTTTAATAGCTGAATACAGGTGAACTTGGACTTAAAATTGCTTAAATACATTGTTACATCAAAATCTTAACAGTAAAGGACACCTTCAATGAAAGAATAACTCAAGAGATAGTTAAGTTCAGCTCTGTGGCTAAAATGATCAGCCGGGAATTATGGGCTCTTCAAACTTCTCTCATTCTTTTGTATTTTTAATGGAATTTTCTCTTAATGTAAAATACATTTTTAAGGGTAACAGGAAATGGGTCCCAAGTACACAAGGGATAGCAGCAGGTCTGTTTGGTTGTTATGTGTGGTTGAAATTACTTTATAACATCTGGGTCATGAAGATAAAATCAGTTTGATTTTCAGAATAACATTTTACAAGTAATGGTGCTGCTAAAAATCCTGACAGGCATGCTTTCATCATCCAAGACACCAACCCTAGGCTGTTTGTAAGTTACCTAAATTCACCATGATGTTTGGTATTACTGTGCAGTTCTACAGTATGATTTCCATCAAATATGTCTAGCATGACCTTCAAGCACTATCAGTGGAAGCTAACAGCTCAAAATGTCAGTTTGAAAAGTTAAAATTTAGCACCTGTCTATGGGGTATTAAATTGAGGTTTTGTGATATGACTTTGGGTTAAAGCGTGCTGTGACAGATTGGAGCATATTCATTTTTAAATTAGATGTGGATTTATTTTTTTAAAAGTCTCCTTAGATAAGTAGTAACGAGCTTTTATGTATTGTATGTGTAGAAATGCACCAAAATTAGTGAAATTCTTGTATTTATAAATTAATATACAGACATGGTTTAATTATTTTTTATTTTGACCAGTTTAACTACTTCTGTTATATCTAAATAGCAAGGGCTAAATTTTTCTTTTATATATTAGCTCAAGTTCCAAAAAGTAAAATGAAGAAAAGTTTTTTGGTAAATGCATATAAGTTAGTAATAGTATGATACCTACAAGAGTGCTAAAACCATGTTGTCAGATGTAAATTGCGTGCCTACTTGGGTAATGGCTGGTGGGTTTTGGCAGATTTATCTCTTTACCATCCCAGATTGGGTCGTGTTATTGTGCAAATGCAGGCATCCCTACTAATGTGGGAAATTCTGGCTGCAGGTAGAGAAGCCAGGCAAAGGACTTCTGCAACTGAAACTGAAAGCTTTGAGAGATATCAATATAAAAGAACTTAGACGTCCACATTTTTTTCTTTAGGAAAATGCTTGCAGCAGTTTTCAAACTCATTGTGGGTGTTAATTTATCACTTGTCTTCCCACTGTTCTAGTATCCTGTTTGGACAGCCCAGAAGTGCAAATGTTTTGATGCACTATGTTGTAACAGTAAGAATTTTCAGACAGTGCAATCCTACTTCATTATGTGCTTTAGGATTTACATTAGTTGGTATTTGTCTTTTGTCCTAATGAAAAATACTGAGCTTATTTTCTAAGGCCTAATAAGTACTCATAAATTTTCCCAGACATTTTTTTGCCTTCATTGTAAAGTGTAAATATTGCTATTGTTTTGTAAAGGGAATGCTCTTTTCCTACAGTAGAAAAATATTCTGTGCCCTGAGCTCTCTATCCTATTCTTTACATCCCAGTCTTGGAGAAGGTGGGCATGAACAAAAGTGATACTTTTTTGAAGATACTTTATGTGCGAACTGGTTTTGTTTTGTGTTTTAATTCTTTTAATGGGGGGAAGAAATTCATAAAAGTTGTTATATGTAAGTTTAGGGTACTGATCAGCATACCACGAGTATGTTTCTTGGACTTGAAAGAAGAATGGCTCCAGAGGTTGCTCATATGTAAGAGCTCTGAGTTGTAGCTGATAGAAGGCAGCATAAGGTTGATGACAAAAGGCAATGGGGCTGAGGTGGTCTGGTAAAAATTTTTATGGATATTTTGATTTTGAAAAACAGTAGCTCAAAAATACTGAAATCAACTTATTCCTTGTTAATATCTTCTGATTGTAAAATCAATATAAATTAAAATGGTGCTTGAATAAAAGGTTCAAGCATCTTTCCATCAGGAGTAATTTGACACAAAACCTACTGATTTCATAAGTCAGCTTTTGGGTTTTTGGTTTTTGCATGCGTATTTGCAATAAGCATATTGAGCAAATTGAAGTTAATGATTCTGGAGTGGAATAGCTTTGAGTGCAATCTTCTTTTGCCTATCTGGGGGATATTAAAGTCCATCTTCCAGCATCTACTCTATTTCTGTCAGTGAGTCCTAACAAAGAGCAACTAATGTTTTGTTGTTGTTAGAGTTATTTTCCTACTCAGGAAGGAGGAACAGCACCTGTTCCTGTCAGATTTGTGCATATGTGTAGATAGCACTTGTGTGTGGTGCAGTGGCAGGGCAGAGGGCTAATTAAAATAGACACAGAGGCTCTACTTCTGTGTAGAGTAGTAATAATTAGATGATGTGCTGTTTGTCTGTTTTGTCTTCCTTTTAGTTATTTTCATGATACGCTGAGCACAGCAGGCAAGCCCAAGTTGTTAGCTGTGGTAACTGGCTGTGATGGCTGGTGGCTGTCCTTGGCATGGATGTACAGCAAGTCAGGGAATGGCCAAGCACAGAGCAAGCCTATGTGTATGCACATCTTTGGGGAAAAGGGGAGTGAGAGGACTAAGGAACCCAGCACCAGAGAACATCTTAATTGGGACCAGGTGCAGTTGAACCATGTGCACAGATGTAATGTAAATACTGTTATTTAATTGATGCAATGATCAGCATAAAGTCAGTTGTCAGTTCTGTATGTATATTCTGTATGAAACATCTACGCTGTATTATAAGTGGGATAATGGGATAAATGAGCTACTCTCAGCCTGCACCTCTGGCACACATAGTTGAGGTTTGGAAGTGGTTCCTGTGGGGAGCAGTGTGGCAGTCAAAGAGGTGCATTTGAATAATGCACATTATATTCCTAGTGGGGAACCTACATTCTTTCTGTGCATCAGGACTAGGTTTTTGTTTCACATTTGCCTTCTGGTGGTTTCAGTATTCAACTTTTGCTGGCAGCAGAGTTGCTTTAGGATCACGAGTTGCCTATTGTACAGCATTTATGCAGTCTGGTAGTTCTGACAGGAAAACACATGAAACTGATTTTGACCACTTCCTCTGATCTGAGCTTCATGATTTGTAAATGTTGCATTGGTAATCCTTAATAAACTGAACTCTTAAGTATGAAAGGACTATCCTCAGTCATGTATCTAATCTGTTGAAATTAAGACAAAATAAAAATTGGGGCTGTGCATTTCTCTTTAGGATATAAACTGTGCCTGTATATATATATGTATATATGTTTTTGCCCTTTTTACATAAGCTGAATCATTATTGAAGATCTATCCCATCTGAAAACTTCTGTAGAGTTATTTTTAAAAATTACAGCTAAATTAAAAATTCTTGTCCCACTTTTGAAAATAAATCAGTTGTTAGTAGACCTAGTTAGGGGAACTAACCAGATTACTCTCCTAAGGAGAAGATAAGGAAACTTTAATGTTGTCAAGCTGTTGCTGCTGATTCTGGATGGTCCTGTTTGATAGTGGACATATAGCAAGTACAAAGTCTACCAGAGCTAAAATGCGGAAAAGTGGCTTTTAGTATGCTGTTCTCAATGTTCTCTGAACCTTAACATTACAAGGGTGAAAGATATTAATAGCCCAAGACTTATATGATTATCTCTTTACCAGTTCTTGTATTTTCGTTTATTTGTTCTTCAGTGTTCTGGATTTCCTATTTGCACGATTTTAAAATATTCATGTTTTTACATAGTTAAATGAAATCTTAAATATTTGGTAGTTTGAATTATGGTATTAGCTTATAGTAGCAAGCTGTTTTTTCTTTATCTGGTTTTAGTCACAGTTGTTAGAACTTTCTTGAACTTCTGTGGGAAACAAAGCAGGAACTTTTTAATGTTTGAGTTTACTCATAGATTTTGCCATAGAAACAGCACAATCCTACTTGCAATTTCTGATGTAGCTGTTGGGAAGCTTCTCTACAACAGCTTCCTAGCATGGATGCTCTGATCACAGAGAACAGTGGTTTAAATTAATGTGGTAAGTTATAGAAAAGTGGTGTAAATATGACCACAGGGGATATGTTTTGCAGAATAAGCTTACGATATAATTACATGTTTGTGTGAGAAACCATCAGTCTTTTAGAGAAAAAACAAATCTAATAATCTTTGTTTGGTGTTTAGGACACAGTGGGAGCTGGGATTTCCTATGTTATATTTCATAGTTTTGAAATTCTACAAAACAAACACATGAAATACTGCCAGCATTGTCTAGGTAGACTAAATTTAAAAAGAAAAAAAAAATTAGCTATTGTAGTTATGCCTATAGGTTGTCAAATTTTGCAAGCTGTAACTCCAAATAGCAGGTTTGCTAAATTTTTTTTTTTCAGATGTTACTGCTTTGCCACCTTTCTGCTATTCACTTTTTTGTTTTTGGAAATTAAAGTGAGGAGCTGGCTTTATTCTCTTTACTGCATTTACTTTAATTGTTTTAATCTAAATTCTTGAATAGAAAAATAGATACCTAGTTATTTTTATTAAGGAAAGTATCTCAAACAAAAGACTTTCTTCCTTAAGAGGAAGACACCTCTGGTCAAGTTTTAATTGACATCTTGCTTCTTAAGGTGTTTCTACTGCTTCTTAACATGTTTCTACTGCTACAAGCATGATGGATTTAACATTAAAATGTTGAAAATTAATTTTAATGGTTTTCAGAGTAGTGAATCCCTGAATTTGTGTGCATCTGGGAGGGGATAAGGGGTTAAATTCCAAATGTATTTGTCAAGGCAATTAGTTCAATGATCCAACAAGCCCACCTTTTAGCCACAAAACATTTCGGTAAAGACATTATTTTGAGCTTCTTTATGCTGAATTTCAATAGACCCTCCTATATGCTTTATGTAAGCCCTTTGGCATTTGTTTAGCTTGAATAGTCATGAATAAAAGAGCTTAGAGTTGGCTTTAAAATGCAGCTTCTGAATTAGGAAAAAGAGGATTCAGATTGCCTTATGTACCCTGTTTCCTTGTCCTTCTCCTAGGGGCTAAACATTTGTGTCTGAGCAAAACTATCTTGATGTCTTCAGGTTTTGAAAGGGAAACAATTCAGTGCACAGTTCACTGGCGATTTGAGTGTATAAGTTTATGATATATTACAAGTAAATATCTCTGTCTCTTGCGTAGATCTAAATATGTCCTTTGAGGGCTTACACTGAAGTTCCTGTTGGTATTAGACTTCTCTCTTGAGAAAGATACATGTATGGATGTAAACGCGTGTTTACTTATATATTTATGTGAGACTATATTTATTTGTCTAAGCATGTACTTGGCTTTTAGGATCTAGGCTTACCAGGTCTTTGTGAAAGGAGATTTTTTTCTCAACCCATTCAGTATTGTTCACAGCATTAACACATCAGTGAACAAATTGCCCTCTTGCATATGCTAATCCTGCACTTAAAAGAACTCATTGTAACACATTTTAATGCTTTAGTTGGAACTGAGATGGAGATGGGAATCGGGAATCACAGGCATATCAAATTGTCATGTGACTGAAAAATGTCTAAAATGCTCTTTGGGTCAACAGTTTGTACTTAGCATAACTTAGCATGAATGAAAGCAGTCCGTGTAGTTTGAGGAAAAGATTAGTCTTTGCTTTTGTCTTTTGTGTGCCTGTGTTGGCCTCACTTTTTCAGATCAAGTCTGATTAAGCAACACTTTAGCCTTAATTTCACACTAGTAGTGAATGTTATGCTGGAAGTAAAAATATTTGATCTTTGTTTGCAATACATTTGTTGAAGGAATCCAATTGGAGTTTACACCAGCTGACAATATAACCGTATTCAGCACATACTTGTTATTTTAGGCATTAAAGGCATGCTGCTGTTTATCTGTCCATACCTGCAGGTGTACATACCAAAGCCTCATCTCTTTATGATGTTCTAAAGGTGACTGATCAATCAGATTGTGTAGTCAATTTCTTATATGTAATCTTAACATTAAAAAATAATAAAATCGTTGTTACTTGCTCATGCATAAACTGCAAGCCTGCTTCTTCTCCTAAACAATAAATTCAGTTAAATTAATTAGTCAAATAGATGGTGACTGACAAGTGAACTAAACTTTTGATAAGCCATGAAAATCCAAGCTTCTTAGAATGTGTGAAACTGTACATGTTTGCCTGGAGGACTTTGTTTAGAACTAAATTGAATTAAAAGACTAAGTATGTATCATATTTCTAAAAGAGCTATCATATCAATTTGAGTTGTTAGGAATATATGGAGGAATCCTAAAAGAAATTTTTTATTGACCTTGTTTTTTGTCTTTACAGAGTAATTCTCTGTTGGTTCCCGACAGTCTACGAAGCACAGATAAACGCAGGAATGGCCCTGAATATGCCAATGACATCAAAAAGAGAAAGGTGGATGATAAGGATTCCAGCCACTATGTAAGCAAATCTGTGTCAAGGAAATGATTAATTTATTTGCACATACTGTGCTTGTATGAGGAATGAAAAAGCTGTGAAGACCAAGGCAATTTTCCTATAGCTGAAATAGTACATGAATATATGTGCGAGAGAGGCACAAAATTCAAATTCTGGGAAGAGTAGTGCCTCAGTAGTTTGGGATATTGTGAAGGAATAGTCCTCAACAGGAGTAGCTGTTTGGGATTCAGTGTGCTCTGGGGCATTTTTTTAGAGGTTGAGTGACATTTTTCTGGACTCCTCTAGAAACTGCAGGTTTGTTTGAAATAGAGGATTTTGTTATTGAGAGGAGTTAGGTAAATTTTAATGATAAGAGGTAAATTTTAATGATAAGTAGCTATTACCATGCTGAGTTATAATTACCATTACAAATTGCATATGCTATCAAGCTGTACCAACTTACTGAATTTTATTTCTGGCTGATAAGGCAATTTTGGCAGAAAGCAAATTGAAATATTGAGAGTTCAGAGTTTTGTGTTCTGCATTTTTAACTAGCTTGCTTGTTCCTTGGTTTTAAAGAGGTGCTTCAGTGCATCAATGTATGTGAACATCAGAAGGTTCACATAGGCTTTTGACTTTGAGTCTGAATGCTCAGCCAAAACACAGGATGGTACTTAAACAGGCCTAAGAGACTAGGACCTGTGTGAGAGAGTACCGAAAAGCAAAATTCAAATCTATTAGAACATACTGTACTTTGATACAGCAATAATGTGGCAAATTGTCTGGTTTATGTGATTCAGATCACTAATTAGTTCTTGCTTACTGAAACCCAAGAGAAAATTAGGTGCCATTTTATTTTCTCAGTATTTGGTAGGGTAATTTTTATTTCTCTCCACTTGGATAATATCTTTGAGCAGCTATTAGCTATTTTAATGCTGTTAATGGTTTTATAAGTTGTATTTCCACCACTTTCTAATAATAATGTTTTGATTACAGAAGGATTTGGCAGACTTCCCCATGTTATTCCCTCAACTTTAAGGGTTTGATACTCTATTGGCATTTTTAATTTTAAATATTTGGAGATTATTTGGAGCATTCTTAAACTGTGCTTGATATAAAAAGAAAGAAAAGAAAGAAAGAAAAAGCTTAACTTGTTTGTTTTTCTTGTGTTTCTATTATAAAGAAATGTAAAGGATGCTATTGCACAGTAGAAGCATTTTTTAATCCACATTTTAAGTATGTTTCTGCCTTCCGTTTGTTTGAAATGGATTTTACAGCTAAAGGCAGCATCAAGTTAAAAAATGGAACAAAGCAAAGGTATTGAAAAGTTCCAGATTTATTCCAATCTTGAAGATAATTTTTTTTTAAGGTCCAATAATTTAGCAAATACAGATCTGATGATTTTGAACTTATTTTAAATTAATCCCTTGTAGGGGCAAGGAAATACTGTTTTTGTCAAAAGGGACATAAATGAGTTGTAGGACGTGTAGCTTTTGGAATAAGAATAAAAAGTTAATTTTTTCCCTCTTTTTAACTTTTGACTAATTTTCATATTAATAACTATGTAGTTTCACTGCATGGATTTATTAGTGCAGAGACTCTTCTGATATTAGTAGAAGGTCCTGATCATGCCTTTGATAGTCTCAGCAAGTTTCTATTTATTAAGATGACAGAGTTGCTAGGGTTCACTTAAACATTGTTTTCAATTAATTTTGTCCTCCTCTAGAGGGGCGTTTCTGGCAAACAAGTGTCCTTTCTCCCACATTCTCCCACCTGTTCTAGCTGAGTGCTTCATGCTTCTCAAGAGGTGGCAGATAAACGGAGCTAAAGCTTCCATGTAATTTGTTTTCACCTGTTGATTGAATAGCTTCCTGAGTAGCACATAGAGTGACCATTGTGTGTCCAGCGGTGCTCTTGGATCCCTATTATGTTTGTGTTATTTCTTGGAGCAAGATTCAGCTGTTAACAGAAGGGAAGGGTTGAAACTACCTGTTTGTTAGGGAGTATTTTTCAGTTGGATTTTTGGGGGTTTTTTTTGGTCGGTTGGCTGGTTGGTTTGGGGTTTTTTGTTTCATTGCTTTTGGGGGGGCTTGGTTTTGTTTTGTTTTTTTAAAGCATTGTGGCCTGAAGTGAGAGAAGGTATTTAGTTTTATGTGTGAAAGCTCAGACACTTTGAAAGGAAGAGATGGAGGACAGTTGAGCAATCTTGATGTCTGGTTTGTTTGCGTACAAGCTTTTTAACTAAAAGTAGTACTTTTATTGGAAATGTCAAACTTCTTCCCACAAAAATTTAAAGTTTTGACATTCATTTCTTTGATTGTGAGTCAAGACTTGCCTTCTGTTTGAAACACTCTGGGGTGCTGTGGAAATCACTGGACCTCTGTATCAGAATGTGTCTACTGGGGCATCCTGGCCTCTGTTGGAGAGAGGGACCAGGAGGCACTACAGTAACACCAATCGTTAGTAGACCAGCTCAGGTGAACATTAATCTAAGTGAAATAGTCAAAATGCAGTTTGGACAAGCTGCAGTAGAACATTTCTGTTTAGGAATGTCCAAGTATTTTGCTTTTCTTGGACAGAAATGTTGAAATTCCTTGGCATTTCTGAAGTTTTTTCTTCCCAGAACTTTTGATTTCAAAACTTGCCTTTCTGAAAAAAAGGGGGGAAATGGTACTATCACTTTAAGGAAGATAATTCATTAAACATGCCAAAAAGCTCTATTTTCCTGAGATCTGTTTTTTGGTGTTTTTCCAGGTATGCACAAACAGTACTTTCTCTAAATTAACACAAGATTAGTCTATGAACAGAGTACCTTTCTCTTTTAGGAGAAGTGATAACACTGTTTATGATGATCATAAAGGAGGGGTTTTGGACCATCTTGCATGGATGCTGAGATCCCCATTTTTCAACTAGTTCTACCTTATTTAGGTTTTACTATTATAGCAGAAATAAGGTGTTGTGTTTCTTTTTTAATTATTCTCCCTACTGCTAATAACTTAATGAAAGGCTGTTTGTTTTTTGTTTAGGAAAAACAAAAAATGTCTGAGTAGATGCGTAGTCTTTCTGTCTGGGCTCTTATTGTACTAATTGAAATGAACACTATATTTATTTATTTTTAATAGGACAGTGATGGGGACAAGAGTGACGATAACTTGGTTGTAGATGTATCCAATGAGGTAACTTTTTTCATTTTTGTAGTCTTGACGTTTGCCCAAAGGTGAAAGGAAAAGTACATTTAGTTGTTAGAAGAAAAATAATCCTCTGTGGATATGTTAAAATATTCACAACTTCTCCTTTTTATTAGTACTTTATCTACCTCTGAGCTTTATCTGGTTGCCTTCTCAGTTTTTCCTTCTGCTGCTTTGTCCAGGTCTGTTCTCTCCGCAGTTAACATTCTGACACTTCACAGCTGGTCTGTAGTGTAGAGGGTTGTGGTGAACTGCATGTGGAAGGCTGAGGTTTTCAAACTCCTATCTTGAATGAAAAAGGAAGACGTTATCTAATGTTATATTTCATAGTAGGATTGTTATTTAAAAAATTACCTTAAAAATTGCTTGTACTTTAACCTCCTACATTAAAGACATTTTCCAGAAATGCTATTTTTTCAGAATGAAGTTAGTTTACAAGATTTTCCAGAGATTGTAGACACATTTTTTCTCAAGGGCTGAGATTTGGTAATGGCATTGAGGTAAAGGGATGTGTGCTCCCTTCATCTTTTATTTCATATAACACACAGATTTAGGAAGCCTGAATATGGTAGTGAGGTTCTTCAGGTCTGTGAAAAGTACACAGAGAGAAACTGGTAGAGAGAAAGGTGCCCTCAGTCGCCTGAGGTGCCCAAACGATGTCAGCAAAGTAGAAAAATGGGTGTCCAACTAGTGATTTTAGTAATCCTTTCAGAAGGTTGGCTTACAATGAAACTGCTTAATAATCAGTCCGTAGACTTATTGCCCTTTTGTGAGGTGTGATTTCTCTCTGGTGCTATTCTTACGAGCCAGAGGAGCGTGGAGAACCTGCAGAGCTCTGATAGCATTGTAACTCATGGGGCTGGCTATTTCAAGTTAATGTAAATGCAGAGAGTGCCTCTGGAACAGAGCAAAATAATCACCCGAGGTGATTTCAGTTTTTCTGTAGATATAAGTGACGAGGCGATTACAGATGGTGTTTAGCAAAAATGTGACAGCTATTATGGCATATAAAGATCCCTGTATGGGCCATTCCACTTAAGAGCTGGACTCAATGATCCTTGTGGGTCTCTTCCAACTCAAAATGCTCTGTGAAATCTGTGAAGACATGAGTCTGCCTCTTCTGAAGGCAGAGATAAGCAAGGTCTTTATCACCTCTAAGAGGTTATTGAAATGTTTATTGCAACTAGCAGAGCGTGGAGAACCTACATGATAAAAACTGTCAAGTTACTGCAGTTTCTGTTGGTCTTCTTGCTCTTACCACGTTTACCGCACTTGCTTCAGTTTAGGTATGCTTTGCAAGCTCTGTGCTTGAAAACAATTTATGATTACAGGTAGCGTAAAATAAAAACAGATTGCTTTTCATATGACTTTATGTACTTCTCTAGGCTGATGAAGGGATTTCAGCTTTTTTTTCTACAAAGATAACAAAACGTCTTGTCATTTGCACTTACTGTTTAAATTCTTCTATTTTGGGTTTTTTTGGTTTTTTCTCCCATAGATTCCTTAGTGGTGTTTGTATACCAGTTAATGACACAGTTCTACGCTGTTCTTCCCTTCCCATTGTTTTAGGATCCTTCTTCCCCAAGGGCAAGTCCCACTCATTCACCACGTGAAAACGGTATCGATAAAGCCCGCCTACTGAAGAAGGATGCCTCCAGCAGTCCAGCATCTACAGCCTCTTCAGGAAGTTCCACTTCACTCAAATCCAAGGAAATGGGTCTGGTAGGTAGCAGTGAGTGGTCTAGTTAGTCTTCTTTCTTATAAAATCTGACTCTCCACTCTTCTGCAACTACTTGTGGCACAAATTACCTCTCATTAAACATTTGAGGCTGAAATTGCCTACTGTTTTTCCAGATCTTTAAAGTATTATGGAGCTTTCTTCCTCATCAGTATTGTCTGCCTTGTTTTGATCTCTTGTATTTCCTACATTTCTGTCAAATGAGTTGCAAATTTATTACAAGGAACAAGAGTTGCTTAAGCGTTGGTTTGGTTGTTTTTTTGGAGGCAATAACTTATGGTTTAATATGGCCCGTATATAGTCACTAAGAAGTTCTTCAGGATTTTTTGTTAAATTCTTCTAAATAGGCTGTTATTTCTTGGAGACTTTTTCTTGTATCCCTAACAATTTTTTTTGATTCCATGTCATTGGTTTGTGTTTTTTTTTGATACTATCAACTATGGTGGTATTTTGGTTTTGCAGTTAGAATTTCTGTGTCACAAAATAATTGAGATATTAATGATTTCAAACTAAAGTAATGTATACTGTATTTTCCTGAAGAAAAAAAATGAGCTCAGGCATTCCTTTTTATATGTCAGTAGAAGAGGGAAAATAACTTTCTACGTTTCTTATTTTAATTTTGGCAGCAATCAAAAAGGTCAACATTTCTCTCTCACGAGTTAATGTTGTCAGCATTGTGTGGATTTATGAAAATTGGCTGAGGGACTAGGTAGTAGGTGCCCAGCATCCCAGCTGCTGTTGTGATAAATTGTATAATATGGCCTGGATTAAAAATAATACTCATTTAATTTGTTTAATGATACCAGCATGAAAAAGCCAGCACGCCTATTCTGAAATCCAGCACACCAACTCCTCGAGGTGATGTGCCAACCCCAGGCACTAGTGCAACTCCAGGACTCCGTCCAGGCCTTGGCAAACCTCCAACAATGGACCCTCTGGTTAACCAAGCTGGTAAATGCATTACCTCATGGTTTTTTATGGTTCCAAAATTAATCTTTTTTTTACACATGTGACTGCTAACTAAATATAATGCTTTGTTCTTGATATCAAGAGAGGGCTTGATGAGAAGCAGATGTTTGGATTATCAGGAGTTTGAATATCTTTCTGTCTCTTAGTCTTCTTTGTTTACTTTTGTCTTTATCTTTTTTTGCAAATAATCCAGAGACTGAACGTAATATAAAAAGACTTCTCAGAAGTTTCTGGTACTTATTCTGTATGCAATCTCTTCTACAGTCTTTGTCTGAGTCTACTAATATTTGCTGCAGTGCACAGCTTGACAAATGCTGGGGGAAGTTTACTTTTGCTATTCAGGCTGGTACACACAGTTGCTTCAGACATGAGCTGTGTAAACCATGTCTGTCAGCTTTACTGCTTAATTTGGCAAAGAAGAGATTAATGTAAACAGGGGAATATTACAGAAATGGAAATAGGTAATGCTGGAAGAGATTGCTAGAAGTAGTCAGCAAGTTCAGACTTCGGTAGATCTTATTTACACTGAAAAGAGCTGGAGGTACTGACAGATTATGGCAATGTTTCTTGACAGCATGTGAGAGGGGAAGGTAAGGTGTTTTAGGGGAGAAAAAAGGGGCTTTTTTCCTGTATGCAGAAATACATAAATAAACCCACTTAATTTTGTTATTCTGTAGCTGCAGGTTTGCGGACACCTTTGGCAGTACCAGGACCATACCCTGCTCCATTTGGAATGGTACCTCATGCTGGCATGAATGGAGAGTTAACCAGTCCAGGGGCAGCCTATGCCAGTCTGCACAATATGTCACCCCAGATGAGTGCTGCTGCTGCTGCAGCTGCCGTGGTTGCCTATGGAAGATCTCCTATGGTAGGCCATACGTTGCATGCAATCTCAGTCCTGTGAGTTGTGGTTCACTGAGAAAAGCTGCATGCTTCATTTAGCACTGCAGAATTCCCAACTCATAACAGTGCCAGAGGCTTGACAGCTTCACTGCGTGCTTCACTGCATGCTTCACTTTGCTGTGTGGCTGAAGAAACAAATTTGCACCTTGAAAACAAAGAATTTCAGTGTATTAATGTAGGTTTTCTTTGTCCTTCACCTTCATTGGGGCTTTAACTGATGAATAAATAACAAAAAATTATTTTGTTCTGCTATAAATGAAAAAGTAATTTTCATACACACAAAGTATTTCACTGTAGCTGTGGACATCTGCTATTTTGTTGCTGAACCACATTTATATTCCATATAGACATAACAAATTAATCATGAAGCATGTAAAATCTTTTTATCTGGGTCTCTGTCCCTGTATTTTTTTTGGGGCTTTTTTGTGGAAATCAACCTGAGAAGTTGGTCAGTACCTATTTTGGAGCTCTGAGATCAGGTGTGTTAAGAATAGTTGCTGTTGTGTGTGTAGTAAGTAAACGGAACCTGGTAGTTACGGTGGCTGTCACACAGAATAACCTAGGGGTTGGATTCTGTAAACGTGAGCTTGATGGCAACTTTCTGCATAGACAAACATACCTGCTTGTATATTTGCAAAGTTGAATTTTTATGCTTTCAACTTCTCATTATTATTTCTATGACCACATTTTTCAAACTGGTAAACAGGGCTTTTGTGTGAAAATGTGCAAATTTTAAACAGCCTACACCCTCATTTTAAAGCAATAACAATGTTTATTCTAGTATAATGTTCAGAAGAAAAATGAAGTAATTTTGGTCCAGAATTTCTCCTTGGATTGTTTGATAAACATACTCAAGATATAAAAATTCAGTGGAATTGCAGTATGTAAAGAGAATTGTTGTTTTTTTAAGCTGTGGATGAGCTTGTTTGCACCTCACAATGTGTCTGAGAGATCTCACAGCTGCTGTGCCCACACAGAATGCTGTGAAGGCATTGAGACCCTAGCTGGGGCCCAGAGCTACTTTCCAGTACCACACTGTGCCAGCCTAAGTACGTGCTAGCTCTCTCAGGAGTGAAAAGCACTGGCATAGCTTGGTGCTGACATGGACTCTGATTCCGGGGCTAACACAGAACTCTCCCTGCTAACCAGGACTGCTGGGTAATGCTCAGTCTGAATGCATGATAAATTATTTTCTGCTTTTGTATGAGTACTTCTATCAAAAGAATGCTCAGGGAAAATGTCTGGGTTTTGCTCCCCATTGGAGGGTCATGCAGTTATCTGATACTGTGGGTAAAGCCACTTTTTGGCTAAATCCATAGTTTCTTGGGAGTGGAAAAAAGAGACTTGCTGAGAAATGGATGAGAAATTCCAAGTGTGAGATTAATTCACTTTTTGTTGTCAGGTTGGGTTTGATCCTCCTCCTCACATGAGAGTACCTGGAATCCCTCCAAATCTAGCAGGGATTCCTGGGGGAAAACCGTAAGTAACTTTTAACATTTTGGTACATTTGCAATATTTAGAGAGAATGAAGTTACATTTGTCAGTGAACAGGGATTTCAAAGGGGATAGTATCTGGCTGTTTTTAAGAAGGTGTTTTAGACTTCTCTAGGTAAAACCTGCAGCATAAAAGTTCTCAAATGGTAGTTGTTATATCTCAAAACAGATGTGTATATACCTATTTACAAGTTGTTGAAGGTATACTTTAAGGGTGTTTTTATTTCATTCTTTCTGGGGGAAGTTAAGAGGACAACAAACTAAATGGTAAATAGTAGTAAAGTGTGTTAGATAAAAATATGTTGAAACTAAAATTTGCACTACAACAGGATAAATGTGTATTGCAAACTTGCAGACTCCTTGTCTGGCACTTGTTTTATCAGGCATAGGAGTCTGCAACTGATGACAGTAGGTATCTGGAGCAGTTACTTTAGCAACAGATTACACACACTTTGCATAATGGAGCAAGCTATTTAGAACTTTTTTCTGAGTGCAGCTGGAGAGCAAAAGGATGATGAAGCAGTTGTGGAGCAGGTGGTGCATAGATGCAGAAGAGTTTCCACAATAAGTTATTTTTATTTAAAAGTTTTGGTTACTGGTGAAGCAGTTACTAAATAAAATGGTTCTGTGATGCTGTGACTTACTGATGTTTCACTAAAATAAGCTCAGCAGCATACATGAAATGTTTCAGTAATTTAGCTTTGGTAGACCATTGACCCTGAACTTAGCTTGTAGACTCATGAGCATGTATGACCTCTGAAAATACACAATTAATGTTTAGATATTTCTGGACAAGTAGTCTGTGCAGGTACTAACAGAGATAATTTACCTCAGCTGTTTTTCTGGAGAGAATGAGGCAGAGAAAACTCCTAACAGTTTTTTCAACACTCTGTTAGAACCTGTTCTTTGTTCACACTTGGCACTCAGTCCTGACTTCTCTTTCGACAGGAACTTGCAATTAGAGTAGTTTTTCTCTACATAGGTGCTTACATAATTTTGAAACTTATTTATCATGTTGAACTTTCTGTGCAGGATATTCATGTTACATAATGTCTATTTATCAATCTACATTTAATTTTTACTTTTGCATTTTCAGGAAACATTTAGAAACTATTACTTCAAGAATGCTAAGTTGTCAGACAGGCTCTGGTAAAAATTATATACTCACGCATTTCTGCATGAGTATATGATGTTAATCTTGCAAACATCCTTGAAAGGATACCAGATTATAGACCAAAAAAAATATATTTTCTTCTGACCTTTTCTGGTAACAACAGGAAAGCAGCAGACTTAGTTTGGAAAGCCATCCTGAATGTGTTTTTGTGGTTATCCACCATGCTTCTGGGAACAGGCTTAGCTATCTGTTGACAGTGTGAGAAACCTGTTAAATCTTGGTTGCACTTAAAGTTGGTGGTGTGTTGACAAGATTAGCGAAGTGAGGGCTCAGTGAGTTGGTGTTGTGTATCAAATGTGGTGTATTTAAATTTAGTGCAGTAAGGATCGGGTTTTGTACTTGAAACTCAGACACAGTCTTGTTGCCTTTCATAGAATTTGGCATACTTAAATAAAATTATTTGAAAATCGCATAATTGAGTGGCTCTAAGTTTTTACTTCTAAACAAGTGTATTCATAAGCTTTCAACAGCATATTTAATTGCCTTGCAATATTTTATATTCTAATCTAGCAAAACCTATTTTTGTTCAGAAATTTTGTTCACAGAAATTTTCTGTGGCTGAGTTCTAGTTGTTACACTATTCAAGGACAGCATATGTATACTGCTCTAATTTGTATCCTCATAATTTAGCTAACTGAGGAGGCATTGGGCGAAACTGTGTGGGGGTTGCTTGGGTTTTTATAATGTTTTTACCACTTTATTCACGCTGCTTCATATACTGCCTACTTTGATACATACTCCCTAGTTGTCACTTCATTTAATGTGTTCTGCAATTTTTGGGGTTTTTGTGGTCATGTTACTTGTACATTTCTTCTAAAATTACTTCTTTGCTTATCTTAGTGAAGCAAGCCTCAAGTTCCATAAGCTCATAGAATTGTCTTTCCATTGACACCTATAAAACAAACTCATGCTTTAGTCTTGATTGGCTAGATGCTGTCTGCTACCTGCAGCATTTACGAGTATCTCACCTATTTCAAGTTTTTCTTCTGTAGTTTCTGTAGAGTGGATATAATCGTGCAAACTGGTGGAGTACGCCTTGTTTATTTTCAAAGTCAGCCTTTTTCATGATTGTCAATGTGGTGACACATTGAATTTGTTTTATTAGATGAGAAGTTTTAGTGTGTCTTGTTGCAAGTGGGACAGAGAATTTTTGAATTGAGCTATTGAATCCCCACTCATATGTGTATGCTTTAAGCTGCACATTTTTTATCAACAGTTATACTGTTTTTTCACCCAAGATAAAATTATGTTCCCTTTTTTCTAAAGGACACATACTTCTGATAGCACCCAGGTTTTCTTAAGTCTTATGTGTTCTGAGGTCTGTTAATGACCTGCATGTTAGAAAAATGTGTAGCCTGTTTAAAAACCCACTTGGACATGAACATGTCGTGTCTGAGGCCTGAACACTTTTGTTCTGATGCATTTAAATGTGCCCTGGACTGTAAGTTTTTGGTGTATTGCTCTCTAATAAATTTTTTTTTTTGCTTTGCATAGACTTTATAACAAGTACTTAGATTTTAGTGTTCTGTAGCTGCTGAAATAACATTCTTTTGGATTTCTGGTTTATGTGAACCATGCCTTCTAATAGCTGGATTTTGGACCAAATACAGAGTTTCAAGATTCGTAGTAAGATTTATGTGCATAGTACTGCTTCTCTGGTGTCTAAAATTCTGAATTAGTGGCAGTATTGAGGACAAGTATATTTCTCAGCATGTTTTCCTGGACAGTGAAAAGAGCTGAAAATACATGTTTCTTACTTTAGTAGGAAAGGGAAACTTTACGTCGTAATTGTTAAATCTTCCTTCTTCTACTTATGAGTTGGCTTTTCGCTGTGTTGGTGGAGAGGTATACTATACTCTTTTGGAATTGCTTGATTTCAGTTCTGTTGTGTTTTTCAGATCTTCATACTTTTACCATGAATGTACAATGAGAGATATTGTAAAGGAAGGCTAATTTTACTAGTCTTCCTTTTACTAGCCTTCTCCTAGTATTATAGGAGATTAGAGGCTATGTGCATCCCTGCCATTTATCTCTGAATAGCATGATTTGGTGACGTGTATGAAGACAAAAATTCAGTCATTTCTGTACAAATATGTCTATCCTTATTTCTTGGCATTTTGTTCTTTGTGATGAAACAACACACTCAGATGTTCACTGTTTCTTGTGATAACTACAATTAAAAATGAGCTGGAGTGCAAAGAAAAGCTGAAAGCAAAATGCAGTTGTGAATGGTAGGAACTTTTTGCTTTTGTGTTTTGCTGTCAGGTGTATTGTTCTGCTAGTTAAAGAAGTCTGCTTGAATTGAAGGGATGAAGTGGAAGGTTTTGAGCATTTTTTTTTTAAGACATTACTTTAGTAGGCAGGAATTGTGTGCATTTGTACATCAATCTGAATATTTAGAGTAGCTGGCAGGTAGTCTAGTTAATTTGCTATATTCTTGGGTAGTGAATTAATTATCCTGAACTCTCCTCAGCATGTCAGATGATACTTGCTATATACTTATTTGGAAATTGGAGAATTAAGCTGAGAAACTGGTTTGTATTAGTATCACTTAACCATGTTGCTGTGAATAGGAACTCTGAAGGTTCTCAGTACTGCTTTGACACATGTGAGAGGAGTCTCTGGATGCAGCAATTCAGAAGACTGTTTCCATTATTCAGAAATAATATGCTATTTCTCAGAATCCTTCTAAGCAGAAGGCACAGAAGTTTGTCTTGTAATTGTTCTTGTTGTGGTATTCTGTTAATATGTATTACTTGATATGTACTTACATTATTTTATATTAAATTTTAATGGCATTTTTATAAGATAATTTCCTTTGTTTGTTGTCAGCCCAACACAAGGAAGGACTCTCCTTTGACCAAAGAGGGATAATCATGGAATCCATGATAGGATAGCCATCTTTCATATAGACAGAATGCTCTGAGTGAGACAGAAAACTGTGCTAGTCATGAGACTAAACAGTAGTTTCTGGCATACATGGTCAGTTCTAAAAGAAAAATGGGTGGTCAAGTGGTGCCTCTTAAGAAATCCTGAGCTTTAGGAAACTCAAGAATTTGCCAGATTTTGCTAGTTGTTGACTCTTTGAGGTTAGATAATGAAAATTCTTGTCATTTTTGAGGATTGAGGCCTGTGAATATGTCTAGTGCACTAAAAATTGAATCTTCTGTAGGTGTGGAACTGTAAGTACAGTCCTTCCCAGAAGCAGCAGGATCTCTCTCATGATGATGAGGAAGCCAAGGGCTGCAGCGTTTGAGCTGCAGATGGTCATTTGCACTGCTGATGTCTCCAGTCCTGTGTTCTTCTGGAGACGGACACTTTTTCCTTGTACAGGGAGTGTCTGGAGTGTTAGTCTGGCAAAACATGCAAGCCTTTTCAAGGTTAAAAAGTATGGTGTAACAGAAGTTATACCATAATACCTAGCAGAGAGGAGTCACTAGACTACCATACCGTAAGTATGCTGGCAGTGGTGATGTTAGCATTACATGTGACATATCTTCAAGCGAACAGGAAGATTTACTGTTTTGTGTGCTTGTCTTGGCAGAGGGATTTAGCAAAGTGTAGCCATTTCTTTCTACAGTGGACTGCAGATAAGTTGCACTGTAGAAAAAGCTGTCTTGGCTTGTAAGAAACTATTGCTGGTCTATTTGTTAGACCATAAACTCAGTCAGCCTGTTTCCTGATCAACCAGTCTTAGCAGCAAATGCTGAAAAAGAGGGACTGCTTCTATGATTAGTATAGCCCCACTTTGAACATAGACATGGTGGTAAAATTCTTCATGATTAAAAAATACACTGGGTAGGCCTCTGATGTTTCAAAGCATAAGAGTCATTATAGTTCTACAGTAAACAGGAAGGACTTGGAAAATGTTTCTAGTGTTTTCCTCACACCCTATCTCAGCAAGAACTGAGGAGCTCGGTGTAGGCACCTAAGCATTTCAAAACAGTAATGATTTCGGCATTTTGAATTGAACAGAACATTTAAGATCTAACCTTCAAATTAAAAAAAGTCATGGACAAGTAGATTATTAATCTTGGACATGCTGGAAAAAATTGCCTAATATGTGCTTAATTGTTTTGCTTCAGTCCATGATAAAAGGAAGGGCGGGCTGGAACTTCAAAGTTGTGCAGTTCTGTGTACTCTTGCTGCTGACAAATACTCTGCAACTGACTTTGATCTGGAGCCCAGGATGGGGCAAAGCTTTTCAATGTCTTAATGCTATGACTCTTTTGTTGGATTCTGTAGGTGAACCCGAGCAGTTCAGCCTCAAGCAGTCTTGTTGCCACTCCTGTTCTGTTTCCTCTCCTGTCCTGTGTCTGATCTGTTTAGTGAATACCCACCTGGGGATTCAAAGGAGGGATTTGTAGGACCTACCTACAATCTTGTCTCTCTTCTTCTTCACAAAAGGGATGAGTTTCTAATTAAACCTTTATCATTACTGTAATTCTTCATACAAAAAGCCAGAAAGGATCCCCTGGGACAAAAATACCGTGTGTCTTGTGTACATGTAAGGGAGTGAACATTGCACTTTCTTTCTGGCCTTACATTTCCCTTTTCTAACATTTCTATGCCAAAAAAGATGTCATCTTTGCACTTGCCTGTTCTCTATTTCTGTGTACTCTCTGAGTAAGCTTTCTGCTTATATACCCAACCAGGAAACATGAATGAGTACAGGAATTGCATACATGTGCACTATTCATTTCTCCTCTGTTTAAGAGCAGTTACTGTTAACCAGTTCTTACCCTTCACTTAAGAAAAAACTGTGATACTGCATGAATTGACTGTTTCCAGTCTTAGTTTCTGTATGAGAGAGCTGTGGAGTTCTTTCATCTCTCCTCATGGTTTTTCAAAGGAATATCTTATGCCCAGGAACAGAGCAGATTCAGTTGCTTTGTGATGTCTGTTCCAGAATCAAGCGTCTTCCTTGTTCCTTCATTTCAAACTGTGTGGTACTTGGGAACATGTAATAAAATACCTTGAAAATACTAGCTTATTATTCAGGACAGAAGATTTAATAGAAATATCTATTGTTGGGTTCTTGGAAGATAGATGGGATACTGATAGTTGAACTACAGTGACTGAAGATTTCTGAGGAAGAAAGTAGATTTGGAAGAGAAAGGGAAGTTCTGAACAAAAGAATATATTAGAAAAATGTTTCAGTAGAGAGATGGCATCTTATTAGTGAAAAGAAAAAAAAAGAATATTAATCTCTCACTGTTTTTTATCCACTTTGGCTTCATGAAGGATGTTGTTCATGTAACAAAAGCATCAAGAGCATGAGCACTTACAACTGAAGTAATAGAAAAGGAGCTTGCTAGTATAGCAAAAATCAGCCTTTTACTGTAGCATTTTCATTAGTAGTTAAAAGAAGCAAAAAGAGACCCCCCCCCTGCACCTGAAACCTTTATTAGTTGGTATTTGTGCCCTTGTCCTTGAGCAGAGCTGACTTACTTTTCAGTGATCATGAAAAAATAATTTCGTGTACTTTCCCTGAGGAGTGTTTTTATTTAGTGCTAGAATGTCACTTCCTCAACCCTCAGTTTCCACAAACTGGAAATCATGCAATGAATACAAATAAAAGGTATTTCTGAAGTGCCAAAAGTACCTGGAAAACTGAGCCTTTCAGGTTTTTCAATGCATGCATTCAAGAAAATATAATTATGAGAAGATGATATCAGCTTTCTGATGAAATCTGTGTGCAACCATTCTGTGTTTTTATTTTCTGTTTAAGGCACTACTTGCCATCTGGTAAGAGAGGTATATGAGCACAGGCAGTGGTGATGTTACAGATGAGGTGCAGGAATCAAGCAAAACTTTGGCTTTTGGTACTGCAAGGCAACAGGTGCAAGCCTCGTGGAAGGATGAGAGTAGTGCCTGGTGAGGGACTGCTGCTGTAGGATTTGTGGTGATGAGACTTGCAACTGCTAGCTAGAAACTGGGGGCTGAAAGGTCTTTTGATTATCTAAGTGGCTGAGGGATAGCAGCCATGACCTTGGCCTGTAGAGTTACGGGTGGAATTTAACCTGCTTCCCCATTACACAAATACTTCAGCTGAGTCAAGTTGAAAATTTCTATTGTGAATCTTTTTCTCCCTCTGAGATTTTATCTGCCTGTATTACTTGACACTGTAGCTCTGATTTTTGTGAGATAACTGGCAAAGAACTAAAATTAAAAATACTGTGTTTTTATTGCATTGTAGTTCTGTAATGGCTGATTTTTTAAATTTTTTTTTTTTTCCCCAAAAGAGCCTACTCCTTTCATGTTACTGCAGATGGTCAGATGCAGCCAGTTCCTTTCCCTCCTGATGCCCTCATCGGTCCAGGAATCCCTCGCCATGCCCGTCAGATCAACACCCTGAACCACGGGGAAGTTGTGTGTGCAGTCACCATCAGCAACCCCACGAGACACGTGTACACGGGTGGGAAGGGGTGCGTCAAGGTTTGGGACATCAGTCAGCCTGGCAACAAGAGCCCTGTCTCTCAGCTGGACTGCCTGGTAGGTAAACAGGAATTTATGCACAAGGGTAGCTTCTCCTTAGAGACTCAAAAAAAGTCCTTGTTTGGATTTTGTTCATATTAGAAGGAAATAGCAGGCAGATCTGTTTCCTGGTGTCCTTTTTTTTTCCCCCAACATATAGCAGTGTTACAGAGAACAGTGCTGGTTTGTTTAGTGATAAGTATCACTAAGGGTCAGGTAACAGATTAGATCATATTTCTGAATAGAATGTGTATAGCATGTTTTGTATACAATGTAATACTTTTTCCCTTTCTAGTTATACTGATGATTTTTGTGCGTGACTTTAAAAGGAATGTAGCTTGTCTTATGTAGGGCTGCAGAGAACCTTCCTAGGTTTTTCACTCACATGAGGAGTGAAAACCTCATTTCTGTAAGATGGTAGTGGCCACATACTTGAAATAATGTGACACGGTACCGAAGGTCACCTAAAGTTCTGCTGTGATTTTTGTTCATGATCCACTAGTTACACATATAGGCCAATTATTTTCACTTGTGCAGGATACAAAAGGGACTGGTTGCAATAGTATAGGTAGCTGAAAAGTTAACTCAAAAAAGGTAATGGCTCAATAAGAGATGCTTCTCACTAGAGGCAGCATAGAGGTTTGTGCAGTGTTAACTAAGACTAAGCAAAGCAATATACATTATAAATGAAAATTCTAGCTTCAGTATAGATCCAATTAAATGTGGTGGGGTTTTGTACCCTTTATCCTTTCTTTACTGCTATCATTTTGTAATTGCTGAGTAGTAATAATGAAGTTGAATAGGTATTCTGTTCTGTGGCAGGTATATCTGCCTAGATGAAGAGCCTTCATTTAAGTCAGGGAGCAGTAATGACTGATTAAGTTAACATTTTCACTGCCCTACTTGCTGCTTCTTTGCTGCAAATTAAAAAAAATATTGTAGTAGGAATGCCTTTAACTAATTCTTGCAGCGTTTTTTTCTGTCTTGAGTTATAGATCTTAATCATCAATTTTGTAAAAAAACTGTTGCCATCCAAGCAAGGTTGTAATAAGGAACAGTAGAAATGTCTTCTGTCTCTAACTCCCCCACAGTACCTCTCAAATCAACAATAATATCACTAATGAGAGATCAATATGTACAATAAGAATCATGTTGAACAACAAAGACCAACATAAATACAGGACCAATACAGGAATCCTTAATCTTTCAACTTTCATACTATGAATGCAAAATAGTATTTGAAAGAAAAATTCAGAAATCTGAAGTGCATGAGACTAGAACGACATTTTCGTATAGGGCTGTTAAATGCCAAATGAAAGGTCATTTGCTTTAATATTTCTATTGTTGGTGACCTTCACTGATGGAGTACATTTGCAGAAAAGCAAGCTTGCTTTGGCTCTGTTTTTGTGTAATGAGTTAGAAAACTTGCCATTTGTCACGTTTGAAACAGAGTAGACTGTGACAACAGGAGTCTGCAGTTTTAATTTCTGCAGCTGCAGTTTCTAATTAGTGATGAGAAGTAGGTGTTTCCAACCTTTTAAGATCTGCTGGCTCCTCTTCAGTACTTTGGTAATGGAAAAAGTACCAAACTGCTTGAAACTTTGATGCAGTCAGAATTATATTAGTGGTCATTACTGGCAGGCACATAACTGAGGTGATTTGTGTTGTACAGAACAGAGATAACTACATCCGCTCCTGTAAATTGCTGCCCGATGGATGCACCCTCATAGTTGGCGGGGAAGCCAGCACATTATCCATATGGGACCTGGCAGCTCCAACTCCTCGTATAAAAGCAGAGCTGACATCCTCAGCACCTGCCTGCTATGCTCTGGCTATCAGCCCTGACTCCAAGGTGTGCTTTTCCTGCTGCAGTGATGGGAACATTGCAGTGTGGGATCTGCACAATCAGACACTGGTCAGGTGAGTCGTTGTTTACAGAAAATTTTAATAGAAGTTACTCTTTGGACAGCTACATAAATATTTACCTCCCTGAATAGGATTTATAACAGCAAAGTAAATAGTGTCTCTTATTCAGAGGAGTGGTTTACACCCAAGTCAGGCAGAAACTGGTTTTGGTAGCTTCAGCTTATTCTTGGAAGATGTACTCTCAGGGTTTGTCCATAACCTGCTGTAGTTAGTGTAAAAGCTTCTGCAGGTCTCTATTATTTGGGATTGGTCTGCAGGTTTTTACAAGCAGTGTTCTTGCTGGTTTGTTACTGGTATGGACTGAACATGCCTTCATAGGGAATGCTTTGAGGTTTGTTCTTTTCCTTTGTCTTAAGCCTTGTTAAGTAAAAAAGAGTATTTAAAATCCTTATTTAGCGATGATAAGTAGTAAAATTATTCTTACAAACGTGGTTGAAAGGATGGATCCTCTCAGTTCTTTAGGAAAGCAGAGGGGCTTACTATAAGACAAATTTTGTTTAGGCTTACCAAAGCAGTGATGGCTTACAGTATTTTGAGAACAGTGAGTCTAATTTTGGAAAGGCCATGATACCTTGAAAGTTGTGAACACAAAAACTAAAGAGTATGCTTAGTCTGCTGTGTTTCAGTTAAACTTCCTGTATATACATAAATTACATGCAGAGAGTCATGTTAATGTGCATGCACATTTTACTTTCTGTTGAACGTTAGGTCAATAAATACAATTTTAGTTATATGAAGGTTTCACTTTGTCATGTGCATGCTTAGTCCATGTAAAGGTGCACTCTGCGACATCTGTCACATCTGTGAATGTCTTGCTTTTTAAATGTTTGCTGTATGTGTTCCCACCACTTGCACGCTGATCTTGCTGGTTGATAGCACATGGAATTTTGAGACCAGAGCTACTAAACAAAACATGCCGTGTGACCTTTCTGTGACAGCTCTTGGTGATTCATACCCTTCCTTCCCAAGCTAGTTGTCTTTTCCCCACCCACCCTCCACCTTTCACACTGATGCACAGGACTTTGCTAAAGCTAATTGCTGAAGAAAAATGCAGGAGCTTCAGAATGCTTTTGCCAAAGGATTAAGAAAAACTTGAGGAGACCTTTTGGTTGCTGAAAGCTGAGAGTTGCTAATGAGAAGGCTATAAAACAAACTGCTCCATTTATATTTTTCTAATCTCTTGCCACAGAGAATGCAACTTTGTGACTCAGCAATACTTATGTTTAACTATCTGGATCTCTATCTGGATCCCTTTCTATTAGTATATCTGCTTGTTATTTATCTTCTTTACTTGCAGCCAAAGAAAAATACAGAAGCTGTTTCTGAAATTGGAGGTTTTAATCTCTGATCACTTTGATTTTATCTGCATTATCCTTAGTGGTTTTAACTGTAGTTACTAGGCTTTAATATTCTCACAAGTGGGTAAAGGTTTCTGGGGTTTTGTAATTTTGTTTTCTTTTTTCAAAACTTGATAGGAAATATTTGACTTTATTCAGCTAATCATGATGCAGATCATTTCTCTAACACCTGGAAAATGTTTTTTTAATACTGGTGTTTAATGTTCAGTGAGAGGGAGGGGCTGATTCTTGCTCATCGTCAGATACAGAACAGATGACACATGTACAGAGTCCAAAACTAACACCACAACAGTGTTTACCTTGAGCTCTGGCAGGAAATCATTATTCAATCTGGTTTGTTTTATCAGGCAATTCCAGGGCCACACAGATGGAGCCAGCTGTATTGACATTTCTAATGATGGTACCAAGCTCTGGACAGGAGGTTTGGATAACACTGTCAGATCCTGGGACTTGAGAGAAGGGAGACAGCTACAACAGCATGACTTCACATCACAGGTAACTGGATTTTCCTACAGCTTGTGGCAATATGTGGGGTGGGAAGGAAACCCTTAGGATCAAGGGTAAGACTGAGCCCAGCAGAACTGGCAGATTGTTCCCTCTCTTCCTTTTGGCAGCTCCCAACAAAATATTTAGAAGCTTTTTTATATGCTTAGATTACAGAAGAAAATTATAGCCTGACACTACTCTTTTCCTATTCTTTTTCTAAGTTAATATGTAAAAACAGGGTTTCTTTAGTTACTTGAATTTTGAACTGCAGTTTTGCTATTGAACTATATAAATTTGCCCTTATCTCTCTCTCTCTCTCTCCCTTTCCTAAATAACTTTAACTGCAGAAAAAATTATCTATAGGAAAAAAATTAAAAGGTGCAAATATGGTATAATTTTCAGATATTTTCCCTTGGTTATTGTCCTACTGGTGAATGGCTAGCTGTGGGAATGGAGAGCAGCAATGTCGAAGTGCTACATGTAAATAAACCAGACAAGTATCAACTGCACCTTCATGAGAGCTGTGTATTGTCACTCAAGTTTGCTTACTGTGGTAAGTTGCCCTGAACGTAGAACTGGAGGTCAGAGCTCTTAATTAATGTTTTGCTGATTAGTTATTTCATAGTCATTAGTTATTGCATCTCAGTTTCTTAAGTAATGCATTAATATGTCTGCTTCATGAATTCAAATGGACTTATCTACAAACAGCCATCTGTTTGTCTAGAGGCTGCTGTGAGGATTGATTCATGTGTAAAAAGCTATTTCTGTTTGAAGTTTAGGGATTTCCTAGTATGTAACGCACTGCAAACGTGCTGAGCATCCACATTGATTTTAAATGTTGATTCGTAGTAAGAGCTTTTATAAGGGAAATTAGTTAACAGATTTTATTGATGTGAATTGAAAACCCAAAATTTGTCAGATATCTCTTTCATGTTTCTGTAATCCTTCTGGTTTATATTCTAGGTAAATGGTTTGTGAGTACTGGGAAAGATAACCTTCTTAATGCATGGAGAACTCCTTATGGAGCCAGTATCTTCCAGGTGAGGATGATGTTGCTTTTAATGAAAAAATAAAACATGCAGAGTTCCAGGAGTGGATTCAGATATCTTCACATATGTGATCTACCTAAAGTGAGATGATGAAATGAGGGTAAACAGACTTTTTTTTAATGATGTAATATATTTCTATTTTTCTTCTAGTCCAAAGAATCTTCATCAGTGCTTAGCTGTGACATCTCTGTGGATGATAAGTACATAGTCACTGGCTCTGGAGACAAAAAGGCTACAGTCTATGAAGTTATCTACTGAAAAATACGATGGGGATATTCTTTTAGAGGTTGAACTGGGCCAAAATTGTTTGTAGAAGTAGAAAGGTTTTGAATTTTTGAAAGGAACAAAAGTGTTGAGGTTCCAGACCTTGCCATGAAACTACTCCGATTTTTCAAAATAGAAGGCAACATCCAGCAGCTAAGTAATGGCTACGTGGACCAGACGGAACACAGAGGCAAGATGGACAAATGTAACCTAGGTTTTTGATATAATTTTTAAAAGCCAAGTCTACTGAAGAATGTTGGAGCCTTTTATTTTTTCTTTTTGTGACCTCATGCAAATTTTTCTCATTGCCTGAATATGGGGGATAAATACCTTTCTGTTCCTTGCAGTTCAAGTTGCATTCTGTCCTGGGTAGAGCAGCAGTGTCTCAGATGAACTTGTTTCCTGGTTTTGCATCTTGTGAAATGTTTTTGTATTTTTGTTGAAGGTCAAACATTTGTATAAACTGTAAATATATTTAGTTTACTACAGTAAAGGCTTTAGTACCAACAACCAGTCTTCCCCCTTGCCCCCTCCCTGCTTGCCCTGCTTATTTAAAATTAAAAACCTTTTGGGGATATAAGTACCTTTTTAGAAGCAAAAGCAAACACTATGTATAGTTTAAAAATGGTGTCTTATTCTTTATAACTGTTCTTAGATTTCTTTATCATACTTCATAGTAGTTGAATTGACATACTAGGATATCAAGTCCAGTAGATATTGTCTTGTTCTACAGAAAACTTAAAGGCAGTTTTGTACTAATTATAGTGTAAATATAAAAATTGAACATTTCATAAAGCTGTGCAGTTTAAGTTTATTCTGATGTCCCATGTATATGTTCTTTGGCAGATACAGTAATATGTGCCTGACCATAACTCATTTGGTCATTTCTCTAGAAGAGGAGGTGACTTCCCTGTCCTTTTTTTTCCCCAGCTGAACAGAATTCATGTAAGACTACATTTCAACTAAGTACATCAGAGCCTTTATTTCTTATATAAGGATGTCTGTGATTAGATAAATTGCATCCTTCCTGTTTTACAGAGAAGTGGTAGCTAACAACCATTTCTTTTTTAAAGTCTTGTCTATACTTAGATACTCAGGTAAATTTAACTAAATTACCAAAAGTGTGAGTTTACAGGGGATTACTTAAAGATGTTAAATACTTGCAGGGTGGCAAGTGAAGTGAATTAACCTAAACTAAGTTAAACTCGCGTCTTAATTTCTTGTGAGAATACTGACAAAGGAATATTTTGATTTTTAGCTAATCCACTCTACAAATTAATTAGAATTAATTTTCCTGAGTGTCCCATGTTATGCAGGCCTGTAGGCTCTATGTATTCATGCTGAGCAATCTTTGAGTCCTTTCCATTGTCGCATCACTGTGACATCTGTGAAGAGCCATGATAAGCAGCCAGTTACCAAAGCTATGCATCTTCAAGTTTTCTTGGTGTCCTTAAGATCAATGGATGAGGAGAGAATGTGTTCACCTTATTTAACTATTATTTTTTCAGTCCAATGTGTTCTACCATTGTGTGCTAGACAACAGACTTTGATGTTGCATTGGTGAGAGCCATACATTTCCTACATTCTGTAATTTGGTTATAATTTCTGTTGCTAATGGAGAGTACAGATGAACAGAAGGATATCTTTGAACAATTAATTTAGATTACACAAACTGGCAGACAGAAGAAGAGCTGCTTTCTCATTTTGCTAGCACTTGATGGTCTATGTCCCTGCTCTTTCAAAGACGTAGCTAGGAAGAAACAAGCTTGACTGACAGATGCATTAATTGGATAAGGAATTTTTCATCTGGGGGCAAATTTTATCTAAGTTTCTAGTCTGAAGGGACGCACGTTTTCTTTTCAATTTACATGACCATTCTACTGCAACCAAATTATAACATCTAAAACTGCAATAGCCTTAATGTATTAGCATTCCATTCAGAATGTAAAATATTACCCATTCAGGATAATCTGGTCTTCTAGACATTTAAAATTAGCTAGTATCAATATGTATCCATATATATCTTTGTTGATTGCTTAGTTATTAATTTGTATCTGTATAAAAATGACAGACCAGTTTAGATGGAGGTCATGTGGCTTTCAGACATAGCGGGGCAAAAAGCAGAATCACCAGTCTTTTCAAATAATTCAATATATTTGCTACATTGAAATGCTGGAAGTGCTATGCCATTTTTAAAAGGGAGAGTTTTAAAACAAGAGTATTTACAAGATTACTTGATTTTTATGCTTTTCATATTGAAATTTCTCCGAACATCTGGCTCTGGCAGTAAGCATTAGCTTTAGCAGCACTGGCAAATTTGCTTTAGTTAGGACCCTTTGGGTTTTTGCCAAACTGGTATCATCTTGGCTTTTACTTTACAGGTATCCCTTTGTTGTTCTCTGAAGTCAATATCAGAGGAACCAAGAACGCAAGTGTTCTTACACACCTCTATCAATTAAAAAAAATCCCAGAAGTGTAATTGGTCTGCTATATGTTGTGGCATAGGGCTTGCTAGTAAGATCACACTTGTCAGTCAGGAGGTTCAAAATCATAGTGTCAGGAAAATCATAAAATACCTTGTTTTCTTGGCTTCTAGAATGTACAGTGTATCAGAGCAGTTATGGAATCAGAAATTTATGTGTATTAATTTAATCATATTTGTACCATGTATTTCTTGATTGTAATTAAGAAATTAATTCCTTTTTTTTTCGCCATCATATCTTTAAGCCTTGAGTCTGAAAATTAGTGAATATGTCTGAAAGCTTCTGGATGCATCATCCATACTTGTGGATGAGTAATTCTCTCAATTTGTTGTTTCAGATTTCACTTAATGTTTATAAAATTGTGAGTCTTTTCATTTGTCAGACAGTAAAGCATATTCTACTTGCAGGTGTAATTTTTAATGAAAAGATAGATTGCTGAACTCCTAGCATGTCTGTCTACACAATCACCTAAAAGATGTAAAACTCATGAAACTTAAAAAGTCTGTAAGTTCTTATAGCTCTGTGTAAAGTACCGGGTGGAAATAATTACTTATTGAATGAAGAAACAGACTAACCAAGACCAGCAGTAACAGAAAAGGCACTGGGAAAACTATGTGGGGAAGAGAAGTGCAGCAGTAACTATTGTATAGGTAATTAATTTTTTTGTGGGAGGGTCAACTTAAATACTAAATCCTAAAAGTCCTAAAAGATTCCTTTGGTAAGCCCCTTTTGGGACAGTCTTTGTTTGCTGGGTGGCCTTCAGTATTCAGAGATGTCTGAATGCCACTCTGGCAAATGCAAGTTCTGGATAGAAGCAAGCAGTCCTTAAAAAAGACATTTTGGATGTCAGTGCAAACAATAACTGATGAAGAGGGGATTTGTGGTAATACCAATTCAACTGAACAAAATCCTTTGTCAGCTTTAATATGTATATTTTGTATATGTGCACTTGGTATAACCCTTCATAAATCAGTTGTGCAGAAAATCATGATATCATTCCATGCAATGTATTTGTCAGTGTGTCAGAATTTCTTTTTGATTATAATTCCAAGCAATAGGAGTTCCCCATGTTAGCCCATGAGCCACTAGTATCTTGAGAGAGAATTTTCATCTACATTAGTTCTTTCTAACTCAATTGGCATTTCAAAGGCTTTTGTTCCTTTAAAGGAAAGAGAGAGCACTAATTGAACATCATTTTCACAGACTGTTATAACAAGTGTTATTTTTTAATATAAACATCAATGTAGAATCTGTCATCTAGTCTCATACATACTTCTATGTATGAATGACTGACCATAATTTTTGGGTCACATTTTTACAAGTAGAGTTTCAGAAGCTTCTAAGTTACTCGGGTAGCTTTAACTCAGATTGACAAACTGATTTTTGGTTTTGGTCTTTAATTCTTGATGGGGTTTTTTGTTTGTTTGTTTGTAATTTTGTGAAATGACCGGCCCACTTAGGAGCCCATGGGCTCTATGTAGTCTAGTTAAAATAGTGTTTCATATATTCTATTATATTGGTGCAATTTTGAGTTGATGGGGAAATTCCACCATTCTATTAATTAAGAAAGGTGGATTTTTAAGTTTTTGGACTGAAGAGTACAGACTTCTGATTTCGCACTACTGATAAAGTGTTTACCCCTTAAATCTCTTCAGTGGATAATCTGGACTGACTCCAACTTTGCTGTCTCTTTGAAGAATTTTGGTTTTTTCTCCTACCACAAGCACACAGAAAGAATTTGAGACTGTAGGTCTATGTAAGACTTCAGCCAATTAATTCTGCCCTGCCAGACAGACATAATTCATTACGTAATGGGGAAGGTGAAGCAACTCAGAGTTGAACCTGACAAACACCAGAATGCAGGGGAGTTATGGCAGGGATATTCATGGACAGAATCACTTCAGTTAGAAAAGTCCTCCAAGATAATCTAGTCCAACCTTTGAGCATTACATGTAAACTAAACCACAGGATTATGTGCTGCATCAAATAATTTCTTGAACACCTGTGGGATGGATGACTCTACCACCTCCCTGGGTAGCCTGCTCCAATGCTTGACAGCTTTATCCATGAGAAAATTCTTTGTGAGATCCAACCTGAAGCTCCCCTGGTTGAGCTTGAAGTTGTGTCCTCTTGTCCTGTGGCTGAGAGGAGAGGCCAAGTGACACCCAATTCCTACAACCTCATTTCAGGGATTTGTAGAGTGATGAAGTCTCCCCGAGCCTTTTCTCCAGTATAAAAAATCCCAGCTTCCTCCGCCATTCCTTAAAAGACTTGTGCTCCAAACCCTCCACGGGGTTCTTTGACCTTCTCTGAACGCACCTCAATGTCCTTGTCGTGAGTGGCCTAAAACAGAACACAGGATTTCAGGAGTCCCTGTCCCTTTCTAGTGACAGGGACAGGGAAAATCCTGGCCCTAGTCCTGCTAGCCACACTACTGCTGACACAAACCAGACACCATTAGCCACTTTGGACGCCTAGTCACACTGAAGGACAAGGGAAATGAGAACATAGAAGCACATACATTTTAGGTGTAATCTGACATGCAATCTATGCGATTCACCTAGAATGAGATTTCAGTCAGAGAGTTCACTGACATCTGTTTCTCTCTAAAGTTGTTCAAAATGTTTCTACGTAGTTACTCAAAGACTCGAGTTATGTGTTTGAACTGGAGGTGGACATTTCTTTGATATCCAGAAACATCTAGTCATCTCATCCTAAGAGGAAAGGGAGTTAACTCACAGCTAGTTCTCAACATTTATCATTACCTTTTATTTCTGTAGCTCAAGATCTGCTTCCAAGCACTTAATAATCCCATTTTCAGTAACATGCTCCCAAATGTCCCACTGCAGTTTAAGTGCTTAGTGGTATGTGGTAGATTTTGCTAGGGAAACCAGACATGTAAGAACTGGGTGCTTGAAAAATCTGTCCTGTGGGCCTATCTTACTAACATTTCTGAGAAATTTACCCAGCATTTCTGCTCAGCTGTATAGGAGAGCTCAAACACTCACTGAAACATTTCTAAATCAGCAAAAATGTATTTTGAACCTATTTTAAGCACATGGGTGGGCTTGGGGTTTGTTTGGTTTGGTTTGTGGTTTTTCACTATTTTCCGTTGATTTATTTCCTTTTTTCTTCTGACATTACTTTAAAAAGTATGTATTGAATACAACAAGAAAACATGAAGGGAAATCAGAAGAATGAATAATAGTCTTCAGAGGGCAGAATGTTTTTGAAGATGCAAAGAACCTACTGCTTCTATGATACATTAATTCTTGAGAGAGCTGGATTTCTATTTCCTTGAGTCTAAAAGTGCTGCTCAGAAAACTGAATACCAAAAAATGTCTGTTGTGGGTACAAATGTTAGTTATCATTTTCAAATTGAGCAGGGTTTTTGTGGGGTTTGGGGGTTTTGCCCTCATGTTTCTTAGAGCTGGGTCTCACAGTTCACTTTGAGAACCTGAACAACAGTCCATGTTCTTTCTGGCTCTATGTTTTACTATGCATTAGTAAGAATTTAGTTGCCTGTTAATGATATATAGTATACAGGAAAATCTGATTGAGTATTTTAGTGGATAGCTGCATAATTATATTGGGCAGGGTCCACTGTAATGATTTCCTTACTAAAGCAAGTACTCAGATATAAGATAACTGCATTATTCTATATTCATACTTTTATTGTTTATGGAATTCCTGGTTTGGCATAGTTGACTCTTCCTAGAAAAAATCCTGTGGTGGCTTCTGAGGTAAAACATAAAATTATGAGATTTTTCCTGTCCTATAATTTCACATGTGGTTTTGCCCATATTTTGTAACATTATGTTGATTCATAGAAGAGATGCTGCAAGGAAGTAATTTCTATTGTGTACAGGTTGGCAAGGATTGCCTTTGCTATGTTCACAGCACAAAGGTATCTCTCAAACCCTGTTTCAAAACCCTGTTTTCTGCCAAAAATGAGTTTGAGGTGAAGATAACACATAGTCTGGAGACTAAGCAATCAAACATACTGTTATCATTATCCCTTTTGTATACTCTGTCATTAACACAGAAAATGGAGATGATAGCCTGTAACTGCAAACAATAAATGCTGTTTTTCCTTTGAGCACTGATTTTAATGGCAGTTTAAAGAAGTTAACAAGCAGAATGAAGGGGTCATAAATGAAAGTTAACCCACAGCAGTTGGAAACTGAGAAATCCTTGTTACTTTCCTGGTAGTGAGCCTAATTTGTTAAAATAAAATCCATCTGCTCATTTCACAGTCTTTGTCACACTTCCTTCAGCGATCCACAGTGGATTACCCCCTTACTTTAAAACCTGTCTGCAATTATAATAAGCTAATAACTCTTATTTTGTGGTTTGCTGTAGCATAGTTTTGACCAACAAAGATACCCTTTATTCTTAAAAAATAGTCATCTGTGGGGGGTTTTTTGCAGTTGGACATGATTTTTTTAAAATTAGATTTCAAATAAGTATACAATCTGATGGCTTTGCAAATTCAAAGTATTTTCTAATTCTTGATGAATCAGCCAAACACTGCTGTTAAGTATGTAAATGTCCTTAATGTCAGCCTGGTTTTTGCATAGCATGCCATGAATGCAACAAAACTTCGGAGTGATTCAATTTTTGTGTCCACATTAAATTTAGTAACTGGAATAAGTTTCCTTTTTCATACAGAAATCAGTTTACTACTGTGCTCCTTTGTGTTTCCTCCTGGATATACATTAACTCTCTAGAGATGTTTTAATGAGTTATACATACATAATGCTTCTAATTTTTCTGTTGTTCTGACTTAGATATGTGAGATGTGTATTTCTGAAAGCAGTTGAGTGAATATTCCCAAATATATGATATAATTGAATTTTTGAATGTATATTTCAAGGAGTTTATATACTTGTATAGATAAATAATTGATTTTCATTTGTCAAATTCAAGCTTTTCAAGTCCTGATACTCTTGTATTTTTATCAGTGAATCTGTTAAAGGAAATACTTCTGGATTTTGAATGGTTTTCATTGCTTTTTAAATTTGTTTATGTAGATACTCTTCTTTGTTGAGTACAAGTTCTTGACCTGGTATTCTATTTATAATTCTTCCTGGTTCTTCAGTATTTTATCTAGCTGTAACTTATTAAAAACCACAAATATGAAAAGGGGATATTAATGACAAGTGGTTTAAATGTGAGAGCTTCAAAATGCATGTTAGAATATTTCAACACTTTGTTCACTGTAATTTTACATTTTTTCATTACTTAAGTAATTAAAAAAATCCTTAGGGTTGAATTATAGTAAAATTTTATACATCTCAGTACTAATTTTGTCTCCCAGTGGACAGCAATAATTTAGATGGGATTGTTTTTACTCTACCTAATTTATTCTTGGGCAGGGGGGAAGGGGAGAAATATTAACCTCGCAAATTTTGCTAATTATAATAATTTCATGGCTGTTGCTAATTGTTTTTAATAACCTCCTCGCCTTCAGAAATTCGTTCTTCTATATTTTGAAGAAAACATACAGATATACAGGGTTCTGTAATAGAATGTGTTTACAGTATTTATCCCCTGGGTTAGCTATAACAATAAGGGGAAGTACAGTGACAGATACCACTTGCAATAGTTGCTAGTGCAATGTGCCTTCGAATAATTTTCTTTAGTAATTAAATTTTTTTGTAATCTTAGGTGAGGTGAGCAGCTTTAAATCAGTTTCATTTCTATCAAAGTAGATATGATAATACATTCTTAGAACTTTACTAATCTCACTAATTTTAAATCTGCAAGGTGAATGGTTGCATGGATGTACTAATACATAAGAATGTATTATCATATCTACTTTGATAGAAAAGTAGATATGATAATACTAATCTCACTAATTTTAAATCTGCAAGGTGAATGGTTGCATGGATGGTTTTGAACTGATTTGACTGTTCAGGTTAACTTCTTAGGTTTCAAAACCTGCTAGAGTAGAGGGAAAAATTACTAGTTATATTTGGGGTTTTTTTATTGCTTTCATTTTTTACTATATATCAGTGGGACTTTATTACCACAGTAGGTGTTCTCAATTTTAATGTTCCCATAGTTTTCTCCGTCTGTTTCATTTGAATTTAGCTTACAAATTAATCCCTTTCCATAGGTGTCTGCTTTGAACCTTAACAAGTATGAAAATAATCAAAATATCACTATTTGATAGAGACACTGTATATTTCTCTGTTTCTGATGTGGATATCGTTTAGCAGGGCTTGTCTAGTTAAAAGGCAGTTAAAATAGTAATCACACATGATCTATGTCTTAACTGTCATTTGTTGAAAAAGTGATATGTGGTGGTAACAATTGAGAAGGAAAAGAATATGAAATTCAGATAGCAGCTTGAACGATTTACTGTTAGCATGGGGCCCAATAACACTACAAAGCTATAAACTCTGTCTTTCTAGATTGCCCAGTTAGGTGGCAGAGATGCAATTTGTCTTTTCTGAAGCCGCCTGCTGCTAGCTAGCTCCATCTCCTGTCACAGCCTATTAGCTCCCCAAGAAAATTGGTGGGAAATTGCCTGCAGATTGTAGGAAATTGCATCTCCAGACCCGGGAAAAAATGTAGTATAGCACAACACTGATCCTCCCAGAGCAGCTATTAATACAGCAAAAGCTGACCTTTGGCATGGCGTGAAACGACTTTGCTGAATAAAGACTGTATTATGTGTGGTTGAAGGAGGGAAGGAATTATTATTCTAGCTATGCTTGTAGTCAGCCCGTTCCAGGAAGCTTGAGTATGAGCAGCAGGTTTTGCTGCCCCCCAGCTCATCACATTGGAAGGTGGGAGAGGACATTTTGGAGCGTTATACACAAATTTCATTGTACAGATGGGGAAAAAAAACCCTTTATGTACTTAAATGATGTTAGTACATATCAAATTCAAAGGTTTAGTGACAAAGCTGAAAGGTAATTTATGAAGCTAATTGCAAAAATATTAATAGGTATCTCTGCTCAGTTAGGTCTTGGTCAGGCTAGGAACAACTTTTTGCTATTTAATTCTATTTGTATTTTACTTTTGTTTTTGGAGCAGTTACAATGAAAAGGAACTGATATGTTCTGTAACTGTGAAATGTAAAAAGTAATGGGATACACATTTCTTATTATAGATTTTAGCATTAAATTCCTTGCTGCTAGGAAGTTCACTTCTGTCATGTTTAAACCAATTCCCATGTGTTCTTTATGGTGTGATATACAATGAGCTTCACCCTCTGTCATTTCTACTACAGCTACCTTTCTAATTTTGTACTTTACCTCAGTTTTATAGGGCCTTTCAATAAAAGATTTAACTTTCCTCTGAATTCTGAGAGAGGGGGGGTATGTAGAGTTAGTTTTTTTGCAACATAAAAATAAATGCCAGTATTTTCTTTGAGCTTGCAATTGTACTTAGTTGATTCAAAGCCTCCTGAAGAAGATGTGGTTGTGAATCAGAATGGTGTATTGATCAGAAGTGAGTGTGAGGAGGGCGGCAGCAGCAGGGAGAAAAATCATTTTGCAATCAAGAGCATTGCTGTTTTCAAACTCAGACGAGATCTCTTGGTAACTGGCAGCTGCCCAGGGATCTAACTGAAACCAATAGGTTCATTTCCTGTAGTATTAGTGTCCACTATTGTAAATGATCTAGCAGGGCTTATGAACACTCACACCACTGATTAGAGAAAATTAGTGGCCTGCCTTATGGAGCTGAGGCAGAGGCAGCAGGGTAAAAAAGGTATTGCACATAGTTCAAAGCACAGCTGAAGGGGATCAAGAGAACTTCATGTTGTGGGCATCTCTGGACTGCTGTTTTGAATTCTTATGATCATGAATGCACACGTGTCAGTCTGAAATGCTAATTTGTTGAGGCATTGACTTTCTAAATTAGTTAGAGCACCTTTTATGGAAGTTATGCAGTTTAGTGCTGTGTGTCTTTTCTTGTAAAACACAAATACAGGAACAGAAGAGCTGTGGTGCTTGAGCATTTATTCTGTATTTACAATAGCTGTTCATCTTCCAAGGTATTAAATATTAATTGCATTCTCAAAATAAATCTTGCAATTTAGTAACAAACTGGGTTTTTTTGTATAGTTCAATACATACATTGGATGAGCAAAGAACATTTAGATGACACAGAAAATCTACCCTGGCTAATCACTGAATTTGCCTTCTCTTGTAACAAACAGACAGACTAGATTGGGTGATACAGTATTCAGAATTTCATTTCTTCTGGCTGATGGCATTATGTGCACTGTTACCTGCATGCACACTCTGAGGCCAAGCCTGTTATTCTACACAGAGCAACGACATAACTAATAATTCTGTATAAAAGGCAGAAGCTTTCTCTCCATAAATTCAAAGCTGCAAGCTCTTGCTTTCCTATGGAAAGAACTAAAATTCAGACTGAGCTGTGAGGAATTTGGAGTGCACCAAAAGCTGCTCTGGACCGTTGGTTGGTTTAAAAGAGGACTGGCAGGGGGAAAAAAACCAGCTCCTGACAAACCAGCTCTCAGCCAACACTTAATGACTGGAAAAGATGTGCAAACCATTAATAGCACCCTTTATCCTGTAACAGCTGTTGAGCTCCAGCAAAAGACAGCACGCTAAACTGTGCTTGCTTCCTTTTTCTCTAATTAGTTCAAAGGGAGTTTGTTGTCAGTGTAAGTTCTGGTCAGTCCAACTTTGGTCAGACCATGTTTTTCATAATGCATTATTACAGCCAATAACACATCAGAAAAACAAAATGCAAGTTCTTTAATCAGTCTGATTTTATTTTTTAATTATGCTTTCCTGGGTAACGCTTCTCACTTGCCACTAGGAAAATGCATCTTAACCATCTCTGTTCAAATTTCCAATATTCCAAGTGCAGAATCATGAAATGGTCCTAATTTACTAAAATATGCTGGTGAACATTTTTTTTTTTTTGCTACTGTCATTTTTTCTAGCCCCAGCAAAAATTTTTACCTATTTTTTTTTCCAAATTTTCATTGCATCCAACATCATATTCATGGTTATCCATTGAAACAATTCACAACTTTTTTCAAGTTCATCAATAGCATTTACTGGGTGTTTAATTTTTATGGAAAAATTGTATCTGAGTATTCCTGAACTCTGTGATAATATCCTTTCTCCTGCACCCTACCTTTCTGATACTCTAGCTGAGAGTAAACCAAGGTCGCCACCATTTTCTCTGAAGAATCTAACACCATGAAAAAAAAATCCAAAATTGCTTGGTCCATTTACAAAAAAGCTTTTATCTGTGAACTCTCCCAACATTTTTCTTTTATATTCTGTGAAAGATTCAATTTTCTGCTATAAAAAGGCACAAAGAAAAGCATATAGCATAACTACGGCCCTTCTAAAGGCTTTTCATGCTGGATGGTGTGGGGGTAGGTTGAAATAGGGTAGAGGGAGTGAAGATGAAGAGCAAAGCCTCCCTTTTGAACCAATGGGACTATAAGCTGGGAGAGACCAGTGGTATTCACATATTCTTTGATCAGAGAGAGTCTTAATTCTTCCCAGGATTTTCCTGAGAAGCTGTGAGAAAGATCAAGGAAAAACAATTCTTGTCTTCACTTGCTGCATATGTTGTTTAGCACATGTGGAATATGTTATGGAGATTGATTCCCAAAAGGTCGTTTCTTAATTGGACACTGGTGAGGGGTGTTTTAATTGATTGACCAATTAGGTCAAAGCTGTGTTGTGACTGACTATAAGGGTCACGGCTTTTTTTCTTTAGTATAGTATAGCACAGAGTTAGTGTAGTATAATATAGTATAGCTTAATAAGGCATTTGTTCAGCCTTCTGAAATCATGGAGTCAAGGCACTTTGCTCCCTACCACAATAAGGGGTAGCAAAGGTTTGGAGGAGCAAAGGTGCCATGTACTGGTGGACCACTAGTAACGTTGGGCATGGAGAAATGTAAGCAACCGTGTGTACACAGAATGGTAGCAGTAGTTTGGCCTCCGTTTTGCCCAGGCAGCCCCAGTGCTGCTAGAGATAGGACTGGGGTTGGAGTGCTGGGCAAGAAGCTGAGGGATTGGGAGCTGCAGGAGTGGGGCCAATGTTTGAGGACTGCTGGGAGAAATTCAGGGGAGGAGAGTCTCACCAATAGGAAACTGGGATCAAAAGACTGGGTATGAGGATAAGCCCCAAAATTTCTAAATAAATAATTTACAGCCCCATCATCAATTATTTTTGGGGGTCTAGACTTGTCCAAGATAATCCAGGGACAAGTGAATGAAAAAAAAAACAGGAGTAAAGGGGTTTGTGGGGTGACACCAAGTCTTGGCTGGTCATGGCCACTTCCACGTAGGGGGTATCCGCTAATTTAATAGTGAACTTCTCATCTCCCTCACCTCCCTGCAGCAAGCTGCTGTGCAGTGGACTCAAAGCACCTGAGGGGAAGGAATTGCACAGCCTGGCTCTGTGCAATTCTCCAGCCAGGGTGAAGGACTTTATCTGGGCTTGTTTACTGGAAAAGAAGGTAACTGTGGATTGGATTGGAAAAGAACATGGTTTTTCAGCCAGCAGGGAAGACTTCCATTTACAGAAGAAATGGAGATACATTAGAAATAGCACACTTGAACAGCAATGAAGGTGCAACATCAAAAAGGTAAGCCAAGACTTTTTACTTTATTGAAGACATTCGGGTGGAATATTACATTTGTGTTGAACCAAATACAGCAAAGCTGGAGCACACTGTTGATTGTTCTGAGTTTTTCTTAATACCCTCAGGAAAAAAGGCACTGGAA